CCCATCAGTCCATTAAAACCCTCTAAAGTACTATACCAACCCTAACCTAAAAAAAAGCTTCTTGTCTTTCTATGAACTATCTGTAACGCACCACCGCCCTGGGATTGACGGTGGGGTTAAACCCACATCCCGTTGTGCCGCCCTCTGTGTAATCAGCAGTTGTGCTTCAGTCCAAAATGTTGATTTTATTCCTGCTAATCTAATTTCTATTAAAATAAATACCATTAAATTACATAATCAATTTCAAAATCAAAAATCACAGTTTGGGCATAAACTACAAAATAATATCTTTTTCCATTAATATAAAATCACATTTTCTTCAAAACCGTAAAGTAACATTTTGCCTTCAACCCTTAAAATCGAATGTTCTCACTAAAAGCATAAACCGTAAAACTGTGTTTTTCATTAAACATGTTACTGCATTTTCAAAACCGTAAAATTACATTTTTAATCAAAGCCTTTTTTTTTTATAAAACAGCAAAACAATAGTTTTCCTGCCAAAACTGAAAAGTTATAATTTTATCATACAAACTGCAAAAATCATATTTTCCGCAAAAACTACAAAACCAATTTGTTTTGACAAAATTGTAAAACTACATTTTCTACCAAAATCCAAATCATATTTTTCCGCTAAAACTATAAACCCACATTTACCCGTAAAAAAAAAACCATAAACCTGTCAGTTCTTTACATTTTACTGGTAAACTGTAAAAATCATAGGCTTTGCCAAACCAAAAAAAAATTGTATTTCGCCAAAATCAAAAATATCAAAAAGTTAATTTAAAATAATAAGTTCACTTAAAAAGTATTTTAGTTGTGTATATATTTTATATCAACAATTAAATTAATATGACTAAGACTATATTAAAATGTGATTAAATCAAAAGGGTATTTGAATCATTTTCTTATTAAACTCATTAACAAAAAGATCAAAATGTACATCAAATAAGAAAACAAACAAAAGTTAGATGAACCATTTAGACTGACAAACAAATAGTCTCAACAATATCTGGACTTTCATATAGATGGATTATCTAAATTGATATTTAGAGGTGATAACAAATGAACATTCCAACAGCCGTAGCTTGCCTCTCAAGTTATTGATGTATCAGTGTGAATGTATAATGTTTTAGGCTTTCGGAAAAGATTCCACCCAGATGTAAGTTTTTACAAACCGACGACATGAAAGTCTTAAAAGCTACTGTAAATTATTTATTTACTTTCTAGAGGTTTTGATTTTACGTATAGAAAACCAAACTGACATTTTCGACAAACAGAAAAAAAGTTTGTATAGATTCTGAAGAGTACAAGGGTTAAGTGTTAACATCATAGGAACTCCAAAACCCCACAAATATAAGCCGATTACTCTGTTAAACTGTTCGGTGTATAAAATTTGTTGACCAAAAACTTTTAGTCTTCCTCTCCATGTACATGTTCTTTCTTTGATTTTTTTTTTTTTTCTACTTTGGGTTTTTTTTCTTCAAGATGGAATTTTTGTGTTGATACTTGAGGTATCAGATCCATAATGTAGCTGTGGACCACTCATAATTTCCTGCAAAGGGAAGAAATAGCTTAGAAACCAAAGGCATCTTCAAAAAGTATTATTTGTTATAAAAAAAGTGTTTCGTAGATTAATACATGTAGTGAAGTCGTGGACACTGGACTTTGGATGTGGATATTATTCCGGTTCCTGGTAGGTCGTTGGATTCCGCCAATGTTAGTGGACAGCATGGTTTCTTCAGCTAGTGTCCTGAGTTTGTTAAGCTCAGGCAAAACAACATTCCCCAAGTCAGGTCTGTCTTTGCGTCTTAGCTCTGCACACTGAATAGCAAGTTTGGCTGCAACCAAGGCCTCTTCCACTGGCCAGTCAGGCACAGAAGGGTCTAAAATCTCAGCGAATTTTCTGTTTTCGATCGCTTTCTCGACGTGATAAGTCAAACCCATTGGTGGCTTAGCTGTAAGTATTTGCAAAAGCATAATCCCGAAGGAGTAAATGTCTGATTTAGTGCCCAACATGCCAGTCTTCTGGTATTCTGGATCTATGTAACAGAACGTTCCAGCAGTTGAAGTCATTCTATATTGGGTTGCAGCGTCAGCAACCGATGGAGGGACGAGCCTTGCCAAGCCAACATCAGCAATCTTGCTGACGAAATGCTGGTCAAGTAAAATGTTTCCCGGTTTAAGGTCACGGTGCACCAAAGGCTCCGGTTTCATCTGGTGTAGGAAATGAAGACCTGTTGCGATTTCAGCTGCTATCCGAAATCTTAGCTGCCAAGAAAGGACTGGGGAGTTTCCTCGTCTGAACAGACAGTCATCTAAGCTACCATTTGCCATGTATTCGTAGACTAAACATCCGTATTCCGGGCATGCTCCAAGAAGGAGAACCATGTTGGGATGCCTCATACAGGTTAATACTTCAACCTCTTGCTGGAACTGAGACCTTCCTTGTGCTGCGTCTGGTCTTAGAACTTTTATTGCTACTTGAGTAAAATCTAGTGTTCCCTTGAAAACAGGGCCATAGCCTCCTTCTCCAATCTTGCGACTCAGAGAGAAATCGTCAGTGGCTTCTTCAATCTCCTCTATTATATATTTTCTGTACCTCGAATCAGTTTTCACTAAAGCCTTTTTCTTTTCCTCAATCTGCTTTGTCTTTTGAGCTTCAAGTTCTGCTATTCTGTGAGATGCTACTGCAGTTTCAATGGCTGCTCTGCTCTTTTCTTTCTCACTCTCAGCCATTGCCATCGCTGCTTCCTTGGCAAGTCTTACTTCTTCTAGTTTATGTTCCTTTTCTGCTTTCCACTTGTGTAACGCAGTAGCCTGAGTAGAGAGACTAATAATCAGATTATGAATCAGATTGAAAATTAGTTTTTTTTTTTTTTTTTTTTCATAGTTTAAAACTCATACATACCTCCTTCTTTGCAGAGATGGCGTCCTTGCAGGCACTGTTATACATGTCCATTGTATACTTTAGCTCCATTTTCAGCCTTCTCATCTCGGCTTCAATCTCATCCTATCAGATTTTCTATTAAACTATGGAAATAAATAATTTTTTTTTTTTTTTAACTTTTCTCATGCAAATGTGTGCTTACTTGGCTGGATAGGGAACATGAAGGTCTCCCAGAGCTTGAAGAGAATGCTGTATATGAAGAGCCAAGATCTATGGACAGCTTATCTGAAGAGCATAAACTAATTCGATTTTCTTCATAGTCAGAGCTGTGTGAGAGCCGGGGAACATCAACATGGTCATGAAAGGAAGGGAACATTAGATCCACGCTTGGTCTTCCACCACTACTCACAAATGATATGTCAGAGTCTGTCATTGATGGTTGCTTTCTGCCTTCGTGCCCTCTTCTCATAAAGGGAGACCTATTCAACATTTGTTGGGTTGCCTTTTAATTTTTAAACTTCATGGAAAAGACTGAAACAGGAGGTGGTACCAAACTTACTTGATCTTGATCTGGATCTCGTCATGTGTTCTTTGCATTGTATGTTGCCTCCTTTCAACTGTGATATCGAAAGCCATTTGATTCAGTAAGGTTAAATCTATGTGATGTTGGAGAATATCAAACTTAGTTACATATACCATTCATACTGCTGGTTTGAAAATGCCCCATAGTGGAGCTCGGAAGAGAAGATGTTGCTGACTTCATGGAGGAGATTTTTCCTTTAGAGATTGCATATACTGTACAGAAGCTCGGTGCCCTTTTCATGACGGTGTTTGAAACATCCGCTGCTTTGAACCTTGTAGCAAAGAAAGCATAGATTTATATATATATATATATATATATTAGTAATGCTCAGTTCTAGTCCAAAGGCATTTGCCTAATTAATTACCTTAAGAGATTCATCTTCGATGCACCGAGTACTAGAGTCTCGATTCCATTCTTTTGTACATAATCAAGTATTCCTTTAGCTGCACTTATGTCCTCCACAATCACATCTTGGCAGAGAACCTGTCACAAGAAGAATCAGTAAAAATGAAGAGATTATACATATATATATGTTTGAAAACGAAAGAGGAGAAAACGCCAACGTTTTTTCTAGCACAATAGCAGCGGAATGGAAGAAACACATCTGCCCCGTCATCGCCTGACCTATTCGGGTAAGACCCTGCAATTAGCAAAAACAGCAACATTAATGCAAACTTCATGAAACAAGGCATCTATCAAAGATGGATGGATCATATACATACCTGAATAGGGAAGAGAAGGGAACTGTTTGAGTTTGACATGAAGAAGATTAAGAGTCTGGCCTTTGCTAACAAGGTTCTCTACTGTCCATTTCAACGCGTTCTGACTCTCTTTTTCTCTGTCGATGGCCAATGTAATGCTTTTCACCATTTTTTCACTTCCCTTGTGTATGATTGTTGGTTTTTTGCAACAAACAGATACTTGATGGGTTTATATATATAAATTGCAACTATGTTTGACTAGGGCTAATTTTAGCAAACACAGCAGCCCCAACAACTCTCTCTCTCTCTCTTTGTATGTGATAAAATATACAAAAGAGTGGTGACTGCATTTCTCATCTAGGTGCATTACAGAAGTTGTTGCTTCTCTGGGTTTGACCAGATACCTACAAAATATTATCTGAAAATTGAAACAAACTTTCTTGTTTAGTACAAATTCGGATTCAGACGTGTTGACTATAAACCAGCCAAGGAGAGAGAGAGACTCACCATGTTTGGGTTTAGGGTTTTTACAAATATAGAAAATGAGGGGATTATGTGTTCTGTTGACTATAGACGAAACAGAAAATTAATAAGGAAAATATGGAGAATTGAGTAATGTTGTTGTATGATGTAATCTATAAAGCACATCACAGGTCAGCAATTCAAGTTTCACCACAAACCTATTAATAGAAATGCTTTTGATGCAAAACCTTCTCTTTACCATTCATCTCGTCTCAGCTGTGTCTTCCAACTCAAGCTGTAAACATTGTCCTCCTGGGCGCGCGCCTCTAATGCAGGTGCGTTCCCCAAAAAGCTATTCGACGCCATTATGGTACCAGTAGTGTCTCTCCTCTCACTTTTCCTCCTATCCACAGCCATCCACGGTCTTTCGGATTCCGAAGCTATCCTCAAGTTTAAGAAATCTTTAGTTGTTGGCCAGCCAAAAAATGCATTGGCCTCATGGGATGATAAAACTCCTCCCTGCACTTGGAGTGGTGTCTTGTGCAACAGAGGCTCTGTCTGGGGACTGCAGATGGAGAATTTGGAGCTTTCGGGTTCTATAGACATTGATGCATTGGCTGGTTTGAAATCTTTGAGGACTTTAAGCTTCATGAATAACAAGTTTGGAGGACCATTCCCTGAGTTCAAGAAACTTTCTGCTCTCAAGTCACTTTATCTGTCAAACAATCAATTCCAAGGAGAGATACCAATGAATGCTTTTGAAGGTATGGGGTGGTTGAAGAAGGTTTATTTGGCGCAAAACAAGTTTACCGGTCAAATTCCAATGTCCATGGCAACACTCCCGAAGCTTTTAGAACTGAGACTTGACGGGAACCAATTCAGTGGACAGATACCAGAGTTTGAACACAAGCTCCACATGTTAAACCTTTCAAACAATGCATTAATAGGTCATATCCCCGAGAGTCTCAGCATGATGGATCCAAAGGTGTTCCAAGGTAACAAAGGCTTATGTGGGAAACCTCTGGAAACAGTATGTGATACACCTATCAATGAACTTCCTCCACAACCAAAATCATCATCATCAAGGACACCTCTGGTGATAATGGCAGTGGTCACGGCGCTGACAGTGGTCATAATCCTTGGAGTCGTCATCTTGCTTAACCGCAAAAATAAGAATAAACAACCACCTTTGGGTTTGGAAACTAGACCATCAAGTCTACAGAAGAAAACCGGGATCAGAGAAGCTGACCAATTCCATAGAGATAGACAACAATCTAGCCATGGAAATGGCTCGCGCGCGGGTAAGAAGATGGATACATCAGCTGCTGGAGAGGAGAACACAAAGCTTTCCTTCTTGAGGGAAGATAGGGAAAGATTCGACCTCCAAGATTTGTTGAAGGCTTCAGCGGAGATACTTGGAAGTGGATGTTTTGGAGCATCCTATAAAGCAGTGCTATCAAGTGGAGTATCGATGGTTGTGAAGAGGTTCAAGCAGATGAATAATGCAGGGAGGGAAGAGTTTCAAGAGCACATGAATAGACTTGGGAGGTTAAGACATCTTAATCTGCTTCCCATTGTTGCTTATTACTACAGAAAAGAGGAAAAGCTATTGGTATGTGATTTTGCTGAGGGCGGAAATTTGGCTGTTAGTCTTCATGGTAAGAATTTTATTCTAAATTTTTATTGTTGCTTAAGAGTTAAATCTTTGTTGTGTTAAAAATCAGGTAATCAGTCCTTAGGTAAACCAAGTTTGGATTGGCCAACAAGATTGAAGATTGTGAAAGGAGTTGCCAGGGGACTGTTATATCTCCACCAAGATCTACCTAGCCTAATGGCTCCACATGGTCATCTCAAATCCTCCAACGTTCTCCTCACCAAAAACTTTGAACCTCTTCTCACAGACTATGGCTTAATCCCTATGATCAACCAAGTGAAGGCACAAGAACACATGGTGGCCTATAAATCCCCAGAGTATTTGCAACACCGACGTGTCACCAAGAAAACTGATGTATGGGCGCTTGGCATACTCATTTTGGAGATCCTAACTGGGAAATTCCCAGCCAATTTCTTGCAAAGTGGTAACAAGAGTGAGGAGGATTTAGTAAGTTGGGTGAACTTGGGTTTCCAAGGGGTATGGGCGCCAGGTTTGTTTGATAAGGAGATGGGCAAGACAAGCCATTGTGAAGGACAGATTATCAATCTCTTGAAGATCGGTTTGGGCTGTTGTGAACCGGATGTGGAGAAAAGGTTGGAGATAGGAGAGGCTGTGGAGAAGATTGAAGAGTTGAAAGAGCAACAAGGGGATAGTGACGACTTCTACTCAACGTATGTGAGTGAAACTGATGGAAGGTCATCTAAAGGAATATCAACCGAGAGCATCAACATGTAGTAAAGAAAGGACAAAAAGACAACGCAAATTAAAAGATTTGTGGACATTTCTACCTGCAGTAGATGAAACAGCTGGATCTGTGTTATTATAATAGCGTATAATGTATCTGCAACACACATGATACGCAAATGTATGAATATTACACTTGATCATGACATGACTTCTTCACATATTCATCATATATAGCATGGCATGTAAACAGAACCTGCAATACATACTCATTGTCCAGACTTTAGGAAAATAAACAATTAACCATGAGATATCAATACAAGTTTGTTTTGACGACAAGAGAACCTCCAACCTAAACCATGCAAAGCTCATTCAACATGTGATAGTAAAACCATTCTCAAGAAATGAGAGAAGTTTGAGGGTCAAAGTCAACATAACCAACATCGAACAGACAGAGACCTTCAGGTGGAGCCGGCGGAGCTGTGGCTCGTCTGCATGAAGCTTCTAGAAGTTTTAGCAATGCATCATTTTCGGCGCCAGCAGCAGCTTCTCGGATTGATGTTGCTACGAGAACTCGAACCATCTGAAATTTGTTTTGGTAGATTTTTTTAGGCGATGTAGACAATGGGTTGAGGCTGATATAAGGCTTAGAGAAAATTACCTTCCGGAGAAATCGGTTAGCGACAAGCTCAACGCACATCACTCTTCTTCCTTCCACATAGTCCTGTTACAAGACGGCACTATTCATATCATGTTGTACTCACTAATCACACCTATAGGATATGATATACATTTAGTTCTGTCTATCCGATGATTAGACGTAATATTGACACATCAAAAACCCACACCATAAAAATGTTGAACAGCTAATATTTCTACAATTTTACAAAAGAATGCTTACGTAGAAACTATGGTGTGAGCGAACAGAACATAAAACTTACAGGACAGGACAATCTAATCTCGGCTGCCCGTGCATGGTACATGAAGCATTCTGTAGGTGGACCTCTGCACACGTCAAGAGAACACAAGTAAGAAACAGTATAGATTACAAAAGTTTTGCTAACTGAAACCACTGGAATAAGAAAGGTAATGTTCGATGCTGGTAATAAAGTGGTCTAGAACTGTTGCGATCGTAAGGAAACAGTAACAGTGACTTGTGTGAGCTCTTACTCGTTTCTTGCAGCTTTTAAATCACGCGCAAACATCTTGTAGGATAATAGTTTTCCTTGAAGCTGCTGTAAAAGTTGATCAACCTTGCATACACTAAAGTCACTTGGCTTTGCTACTACTCCAAGACCATTCACATTTTCTGTCTCAAGCTCATCGTCTTCCTCGCTTACTCCTTCGGTAATCTCTTCACTTAAGAGCCCATTTCTTTGCTTTCCATGGTTCTCATCAAATATAAAGTTCTCACGATTTTTGCCACTCCCACACGCATGATCCAAGGGAAAGATATACAAGTATCGCCTCCATTTTGCAGAAAAATTTGGATGAAATGCTCGGGAAACCTTCAGTTTCAATTCACAGGTCCAAAAATGCGATTACATTTTTCTTTTCTTTTTTTTGCCAGAAAAAAAAACTAAAACGGGAAAGAAAGTATACCTTAGAGACTGATACAACCCTAAGTTCCCCAGACGCATCTTTATTGATAGCATCTTCTATATCACTGGGTTCAATGTCTTTTCTCCAGGTATCTAAGAGAAAATCTTAAAATTAGACAATCATCTCGTGATGACATACTCTCACGAGCAAGTCACGCAGAACACATATGCAAATGTTCTTCTCTAACTTATTAGTTAGTTGAGCCATTAAACTACATTGTTAAGAATCACGTACAAAAAGAACAGACTTGATTAAGAGCAGACACTCCTTTGTCGGTTCTTCCGGCAACAAGTACACGTCCTTCTAATGGTTTACATTTTTTCTTCAGCTGTTGGGCTTTCCTTTCATCGACAAATTCCCCAAGAGACTTCTCTACTACACTTTAGAAACCTCAACAGTCATTTTTTCAGGAACACTTCATTGAGTCATTTATGTTTCTTCACCGTAAAAGACAGATACACATGTTCCCGATTATGAATATTTCGGTAAATTCAAAAAACATGATTCCTTACCTCTGAACAGTGTGTAAGTCGAGCTGTTTCTGCCATCCATCAAAGGAAGTTCCATTGTATGAAAGAACTATCTTGAAGTTTACTCTTTCCCACCTCCCCGTCCTCCCATCTTTTCTAGCACAAGTCTCCAACTCAGGCATCGCTTCGCTTTCCCCATCATCATGGACCAAAAACTTCTGAAAGAGGAACAACAAAAGGTAAATAATTTAGTTTAAGAAGATGACATCTTACCATACTAGTAACTGAAGCTAAAAAAAAAAAAAAAAATTCTAACTTTGGGCTCAAACAAGTTTAGGACTGAAAGCTTCCCTCCCACTACATTTGAGTAGAAATCAACAACATGTTTCCATGGCCTTTCATACATAAACCGGAAGGTCTCTCTGCCAAGAAGAACATTGTTGTCAGAATGTTTTGGTGTAATGCTTTGCTCAACTCAGTGCCCACAAGAGTGAAATTCATTGTCTAATTTCTCTGACAAGGTTCCGGAACAATGTCTTCCTTTATTGTAATTAAGAACCAAAAGCAATAACTAGCTTAACCCGTAATTCGTATGAAACCAGAAACGATCTTGTTAACTGATGATGATGGGTCCCTTTTATTTCAAACCTGGTGTTCCAGCGAGCTTTGCTGCAGGCATCTCCGTGGTGGTAATGAGCGTAGACTCTGCTCGCCATCACGATATTGATTTTACCTAGCCGAGGCAGAAGATTGGTGACGACTCCACTGTTTGGGTTTTGTTATTCGCCTTTATGCAATGAATAAGGAAAGCTGATACGGCCCGTTCTGTCCCCAAACCGGCAAAGCCCATTAGTGTATGAGTCCAAACTGGCCCAGACTGAGAATATTTTGAGTATAGTCTGGTCGAGCCCTAAAATAAATCTAGATTTTTGGGGCAAAATTTTGGGTTTCCATTATAATTCACTATACAAAATCATCTTCTATATTAAAAGAGAAGTACCATTTATATCTACTACAAAAAGTCATACTGGACCATTTCATTAATATAACATATTTGATTATTTATATTAATCAACCAAATATAGATTACTGAAGAAATATTTTAATAATATATAACTATAAAGTTATATTTAATTTCATTTATAACAAAATCTGTTGAGAAAATATCTAACAANATATTTGATTATTTATATTAATCAACCAAATATAGATTACTGAAGAAATATTTTAATAATATATAACTATAAAGTTATATTTAATTTCATTTATAACAAAATCTGTTGAGAAAATATCTAACAAGATCTTACCAAGAAATTTCAATATTTTTATAAAATATATATTATTTTATTTCGTGATTAATATATATATATATATATATATTAATGTTAATTAAAAATAAAAATTGGTATATTTTATAATTTAATGATTTTCTATATTATATTAAAATAAAATTCTATGTGAAATTAATATAAAAATATATTAAATTGGTAAAGAAAAATATTTTATTTTAAAAATTTCTTTTATTCACTGTTAAAACATAAATCTTTTAAATTCATGTAATATTTTTATACAAAAAATGTTGACATATATTTTTGTAATTCACAACAAATACATTATCTAAAAAATATATTTGATATTTTTTAAAAATGACAACAATATATTATATAAAATAATTAAAATAATAAGATTATATAGTTATACAATATAACAATAAATGTAAATGACATATCTGAAAGATTTTATTATATTTTTATAAAATGAAAAATTACCCGCACGGATGTGCGGGTTCAAATCCTAGTTTTGACTTATTGACCGCGTTTAAAAAACACGATTTCTTTTAAAATTTAAATATTTTTTTAATGAATTTCTATATAAAACAGCGTATAGATTCGGACACATCTATTCGAAACTACGAACCGAGATTTACCAAACTAAAAAAGAACCAACATTGAACGAAATTTCATAAATAACCAACATATCATATATCTTTCAAATCAAAAAATTAAGAGTTAATTTGGTCAAAATCCTAACAAAAGTTAGTAATTAGCAAACTACCTATAACAAAAATATTGTGGGCCTTGTATTGCAACTAGGAGAAGCTAAATGACCAAACGGTCCTCTTGTCGATTAGATAATTAATTAGACTAGGCTGTTTGTAGGTTAGAAACAAAAAAAAAATATTTGTGGGGATTAATCTATATTATTAAAATAGAAATACACTTATAAAATATCTCTGAGTTTTTTTAATTATTTACAATGTTATGCCACTGAAATTATTAATTACCTTACCTTATAGGATTCTTTGTCTTTTCACTTTAATTAATGCATTTCCAAAATCAAATTTTAACTAAAAAAAATTATGGCAGCAATAATTAATGAAAATAATTATTTTCATATATACCTTTCGTAATTAAATAAATAAATTATATAGAAATTGTTTTACTAATTCCATATACATAATAATTAATTCCAATTTTAATTAACCTACCTTTTAAGATTCGTTTCTTATTAATTATCTACATATCTTTAAATAGTTAATGAACAATATTGTTTTCAAAGATATATAATTATATTTTTATTATTTATAAGTAATAACTAAAATAAAAGTCACAAAAAGAAACATTTATATATAATACATAGATTAATATAAACATATTATGTTATGTATATTTTTATATAAATAATAGTTCAAGGTAAATTCAGAAAAATAAAAGTTAAAAAAGTAGAAATATATAGGACCATATATTTTAAATAGTAGATAAAACAATTTAGTTATACATTATCATAAAATTTTGATCCATAAAAATAAAATAAAAAACATTTGTGCAAATATACGGTTCATATTTTTAAAATAAGTATGACACAATGATAGTTTATAAGATAAAATAAAATTACTCAATATAAACTATAAAATTGTGTGTTTAAAATGTCGTTTTAAACAATTATTTAAATGGGTAAATTTAGAAATATATATTATCA